GTTTTAAAGATGTAAGGACAAAAAAATAATTAATTATTTAATTGTGTATATTTTGTGCTAAAAAATAAATCTTAACCCTAAATCTAATTTTACCTACTCTTTGTTTTTGTTGTTGTTTTTCTAGTAATAATAAGTTTGTATGAAATCAGTACATGCGTAGAAGTTGTGTTCTAGTATATTTTTTTTAGTTAGTCCAATTAACTGGATTTTTTAGTAACCATTCCCAAAACACTTCTTCATACAATTATTTTCTATGAAAAATATAAATATCAATATTTTAAAAATATTATTTTGTATGGTCCCTCGTATGCGGCCATATTTAGTATCTAACTGGAGATGGGTAGCAGAGCTATGGGTTATTCTTGTGTGTGTGTTTGTCGAGGCCGCTGCCCTTTCCGACATGGCTGACACATATATCATGGCAACCGAAAAGATTTATGGCTTTTATTGGGAGAAAATTAAAAAGATATGAATGGTGCATTTTTGGCCGGGAATTTGTCCAACCCAGCTTTTTTCTATCTCTTTAAAGTCTGGCGTCTTTATGTGAACTATACGAGCTTGTATTATTGATTTAAATTCAGTTTTTAATTTAATATAGGTACAAGGAAAATAAAATTAGAAAGACATTAAAAAAAAGAAACAGTTTTTTTAATAACCTAAATATATACATACATTTTAAAAAACCTCTTCTAAGTAGACTTATTTTTTTAACTGAAATTTTCCATTATTTATTAAAAAGGAAATTCTATGTTTATTAAATTAATGACGTTTTTTGCTGCCTTAAATTTTCCAGATCATTAAGTATAATGACTTAATTAAACGTATGATAAAGCTATTAAATAAATTGATATGGGTATCAACAACTTTTCGGTTTTTTATATAAAAGCAATTACTTTGGTACACGAGTATATGATTAATTTAATAAAAGGTAATTGCATTGGTCGAGTTTTATAAAACTATTTTAAGTAAAACATTTTAGAAGTAGAGATAAAAATACCGTGTCTGATATTTCCGAAAATAAACCTAAACTTTGTCGCAGCTATTTCCTCTGGCCGGACCGAAAAAACTCGTCTATTGTTTGGCCCCATAATAAAACGTCCAAAAAATTTCTTCGTATTTTTATTGTGTGCCTTTACGGGTTCGCAACGGGTCCTAGTCTCTCGACTGGGCTGAATTTAGCGACACGCCTGACCTCGACTCACCAGGACATAGAAAACTCCGCTAAAGTGCTTTCAAATATTTTTAATACATTTAAAAAAATGTTTAGTATAACTATTTATTTTTAATGTTTCTTAATTGGTTCTTATTAAATTAAAATCATATTAATATTCATGCGTATGAAGGTGTTTTTTAACAATCGCAGTCACATAATATGTACACTTTGTATCAAGTTTGATAAACGCCATTTTAGTCACGAATTTTAATTAGGCACGAGCGAAGCTTGCGAACGACGAACAATATTATAAAAAATCATAAAATATCAATCAATTTAAATATTTGTATAAAGCGACATCTATACAAAAATATTCTAACCAAAATTGGTGTAAAGAATCTGTTTTGCTGGCCTTTAAAATGTCAGTGTCAGTTTGTCAAATTTTTCTTTAAAAATCGAATTTTCTCCTTTAAAAATGGACTAACAACCGCGGTTAAATTTGATATAGAAACAGTTTTTCAAAGTCAAAGTGAAGAGGATGTTCTTATGGGTACTCTACCAGAAATTATTAAAGCTTCAGCAACTTCTAGTTTGCTGCATGCAAAATCAAAAGTAAGTACAAACATTTCATTTATTTTGAGGATTGTACGACATTTGTGAACTGCCAACTAACTTAAAGCTACTAAAAAGCCTGAAAGCCACTGCTGCTAACTTTAGCCCGTGACTAAAATTCCATGCATAAAGCCACAGCTTGCAAGCTGTCAATGTGTATTTAAAATGTAACTTATAAAAACACTTACGATAAAGAATGTAGAAAAATATACGAAAATATAATTAAAATTTCATTATTTTATTAATTTTAAAAATTATACACAAATGGTGCCTATAAACAAAATAAACAACAATAATTAAATAAAGTTGGTTAATTGCCTTAAAAGTGTATATTTTGATTTTTTCTTTATTTATTTTTAAAATTCCAAATGTTCATGACAATATTCTGGATTAGCTTACTGTCATTCTGCAGTGGTTAAAACAAATCCCTTACAGTTTTTTTTCTTCTTAGCAAAGGGTTGCATATTTTGTCAAAATAATGAGATATCTTAATAAGATTGATATTAAAATTTTTATAAAACTTATTTTTTGGTCGTAGATTGCAAATCCATGCTTGGTTTAGCTGTATCAGGTCAAAATTCAAAGATATTGAAAACACCCTGTATAAATTTAAAAAAAAATAATTTGGCTGGACCCACACATTAGTTCCAAATTTTAAAAACAACAAATTCTTGCAAAATTTAAGTTAATTGACCAAAGGGAACACGTGTCCCTGAGGATTTTTTATAGATAATTTAGGAAATTCAAAATGTTTTTTTGCTAATTTTTTTTATTGAGTATAATTGAGGATATTATATAAATTGAAATAAAAATGATAAGAATGTTGGCACAAGAGGTGAAATATATTAAGCAAATTATAATATACCCCCGGATCGGATTTCCAATAGGAATTTTTTTTTAGACCTGATACAGCTAAACCGAGCACGGGTTTTGAATCTACGACCAAAAATAATGCTACATGTCCGAGCGTTTAGCTGTGATATTTCAAGAGTTGAAAATTTACCCACACTGTTATTGGCGATTATTGAAGACACTTTTCAATGAACAAAGTAAGTATTTAATCACAATAATTTACAGTACTTTGGATATGAACTTTTTATTAACTAGAATTATAAAATAAACAATTTGTTGAAACTATATATATATAAATTAAATTTGAATCCAATAAAATACCTTGTTATCGATTAAATTAATAAAAGGAAATGAGGTTCCGTTTGTTTATCTAAGTTATTTATATTTAATTAATTTAATTGACTAACAGGACTTGGATCCGAAACAATTTATTTTACGTTATTTAAAGAATTTAAAGGCGGAATTTTCTATTCTCAAATTCGAAAGCAACAAAAACTATTTTCCCTGCAATAAGTCTTCCACAAAACGAAATCCTTTGTTTTTTTAAGTGTTTTATGTCTCGGAGCAATGCACTCAAATGATGTTTTAAAATGCTATAGATTGTTTAAAAAAGTTGGTTTTGTGTGCAATTTATAAAAAAATAATTTTTATTTTTAATTTAGAAATATCGACACGCTGTAAATAAACACGATGTAAAATTATGGCGAGAATATCAAGTTGTCTACCGACGGAAGCCAACTATAATTTACTGTACCTGCATTTTCATGCAAATACAATTTAAATAATAAGACAAATTTACGATTATTATTATAAATAAGTGCCGTTTTTTATAACAATTTATTGCTCTTTAAAATCACCTTGACACTTTGACTTGTTTGTTCACTCATAAAAATGTTTAAATTTAATTATCTAAAAAATTAAGTATGAAAAGCAGTTAATGAATACAATGTAATTAAAAAGTAAATACATTTTAAGTTTTTTTTGTGTTTTAATTACTTTTTTTTTGTAAATTTTTGGTCTTGAAAAGAATTTTAATAAAGGTACATTCGTGAAACACGCAAACAAGTGACCTGACGTGTTGTTTTAGAGGGGTTAAAACATATATTTTACCAAAATAAAATATATATTTTTAATCATAATTAATTGTAGGCTATTTAATAAAGCATAATTTTGATTAATAATAAAGTTAAGCTTTTGGTGTATTAAAAGAAGTAATAAAGAAATCTGAAAACAATATCAATAAAAAAGTTTAGTGTCCAGTAAAGCGTTTAGGGAGCTTTTTATTATCTGGGGTATCGCATAAGCGTAAAGCGGCAGCATTCGGGTGTAAATGGTTTTAGAAATGCAAGAAGCAGCAGCGGCGGCGGCAGGCAGGGTCCTTGCGGGACACCCGCGCGAATCCTCGGGGATAAAAGATAGGAACGGCCAAAACGGCAAAGTCGAGATAAAGGAAGATAAACAGATTAAAATGATTTAGGGACTCTCGAATATGTGTCCGACTATTATAAAGTTCTTTAGCGAAATTTAAAAGTAAAGTTCGGTTATTTACTGCGCGGCATTTTAAAAGCACGCGGATTTTATGCCGGTCCCGAGAGCTTTTTGCAAATATGACAAAGTTTAATTGGATAATTTAAATGGCCAAGTGACGGCTTTCTGACGAATTGTTATTGAGTATTATTATTTCACAAGAGAAATAGTCCTAAATGTATTTTGATAGTTTTTTATTAAATTTACTGCCTCAAATTAATTGTGCATACAAATGTAATGCATCTCATAGTATTTATAGTATTTTTGATCATTAAAAAATTAGGTACTACTTTTAACCGTGTATAAATGCGAAAGGTATGATACAAATCTATTAATCTGGATAAATGTTTTACAAATATATAGATTTTATATCCAATGTCAATCTCTTGCTATTGCCTATTTTGCAAGATTTAAAACGTTTTACGGAAGATGACTAAACTATCATAAAAAAAATGAAGCTAAATAAGGCATATTTTGGTTTAAATCCTTATCCAAATATGCCATATGCCCTTAAAAGACCACCTATGGGTACCATATTAAATTTGGTAGTTTTTAAGGGCCACTTAAGATGACAACATCGTTATGGAAACGACTCAACTTTTTTAAAGTTATGTAAGGATGGGTCCGATATTTTTTTAATGAAATTTGATAATACGTTGGGTACTTCCAATTTTAGTATTATACCTAATTGTTTCATTGTAAAAATGAACAATTATTTTTAAACTGAATCTAAAAAGTTTTTAATAAGTCACTTCAGTAGAGTAGAGGCTAGATATGTTTTATTTTTTTTCAATATTAAACCATGTGCTTTAAGGCTTTCGAAACTTTGAAAATAATATTTGTATTAATTACTTACATTTATTCCTTGTAGCACATTGCACGAAATAAATAAAACACAAAAATAAACCAAAAACCATGGGACACTTGGTCACAAAACAAAACGACGGAAAGCAAAAAAAAATGTTCTTATTAGCGGCACTGACAAATCGAAGGCCGATTCACAAAAAACAGTAGCGTGGCCGATGAAGTAATAAAAATTCGTCCAACAATGGAGCAATAAAGTTCCCGGCGTGTGTTATTTGTTGGATGTTCTGCCATATACTAATTTAAAGTGTTTTGTTTGAGGTGTGCCGGCGTTAGACGGGATCCAAAAGCACGTTTCGCTTTCGGATGGTGGGGAGGGGGCCGCGGTGGTTGCCTACTCTGGCCGTTGCACGCGGGTCCTGAGCTTTGGGCGCGGGCCATTCACAATAGGCGAACGCATAAATCAGGGGTGGGGAACCGGGTGAACCAACCGGCTACGAGGATTTTTCTACACAACACTGTTATCGGACGCATAGGCCTGGCACTAGGATTTTGGAGCCATCGAACTAACGCTACTACACTCCGGCCGCTACTCATTCTTACTAAAACCTTGTTCCCATTAAAAACATTCTTAAAAGTTAATTATAAATTAAAAAGATTGTTACAATTATTTTTTTAGGAAAAAGTGCGTAATATTATTTTTCTAAAAATATTCAAAAATTTGTACATTTCTTATACGTTTTCATTTAAGAAAGTGACATAAACTGTGAACTGTTTCGCCACCATTAATAAATAATTAATAAATTCTTTAATAAAATTATACAAAGTATAGGGTTTAACTCTTGAAAAATGGCCAATTTTCTCAATCGTTGAACAATATAGTATTATAAGTCAATAATAATAAAGTGATTATTAAATTGACCCCAGTGAATAAAACAAACTAGACTAGTGAAAAATATATGTAAATATATATTATTTTATAATAGAATTATTATGTTGTACAACAACTTTGTTGGAAATTTTTACGTTTAATATTGTTTGTAATAAATACTTAACAATATTTCTATAATATTCTAAAATTTATTTTATTACTTATAAAGCTTAAAACTAAACTGAAAATCCCTTAATAAATTCAAATCAAATTTATTGTTCAAGTAAAGTGTGAACCCAGCTTAACCAGCTCTACCTTCCTACGGTTTCAAGACCGGCGCTTTTTAGACGATTCATTATTTTTTTTTTAATTTATCACTTTATTTTTTTTACCTGGAGATAATGATGTGGTAATAGGCAATTATTGTTAAGGCCTTCATGAGCAATTGGCTTTCTGAGTCTCTGCTAGATTTATTTAGGAAAGGAGGAAAAGTATGAGACTGTCTTTGTAGCACTTAAATTACTTTTGATAAGTTTAAAAATAAGAAATTGTTTTACTAAACTAAAGATTTAGGGAAAGTGTTTTTGCAAATCTAAGATTTTTTTGCATGTAAATATTAATACGTTTACAAATTTAGCATAAAATATGTTTTAATTAGGTAGGTAAAAATTTGTATAATGATTTCATAGTAACTATATTCTTAAAAATGGTAAAACCGAATGTATTAAAATCGTTTAACAGCATAAAATTCAAAGGCTGCATCTCAAGTTCCAGATTTTATTAAAATTCTGTCTGAAATAAGGTGGGCTGGAACTTCAAAATTTATGTGAGTAATTTTTAAGCCATTTGCAATATAATTCCGACAATAAATTGTCACCTTTGCCTAGATAAAACATAACAGGTGATATTTTAATCCCAAAGCAGACCCCTTGAATTAATTGCTTGTATTTTTTCCAAGGGCAGAACGAGCAATTTTTTAAAGAAGCTTTCACGTAGGGACTTTTTTACCTGGTCGCTTTTTACTGCAAAATAATAGTCTGTAATTGTGTCAACTATTCTTAGAATTACCTATGGGTCCTGTTTTTTATGGGTGTTTTTTAGGCAAGGTTAAATTAGGTAGGTAGGTAAGTATTGATTATTTTTGTTTTTAAATATGTATTGCTTTTTTGAAATATATTTTATAGGATTATCCAGTATGAATAAGTTAGTTTCAAAACACCTAGATTAAATAAATCTTTACTAAAATGGACCATAACTCTTCTGTATTTATGTTTGAGTGTGTGGCTTAAGGCTAATCCATGGACTTATACAACGAATAATGAAATATCTATTTAATATCCAAAATAAAACTATTCCGTGAGGTGCACATGTACTCAAGTTGCTTAAATCTCGATATATTCATAGAGGGTAATTTTTCCATAAAAATGGTCATTGTTAAGCACATTTTTTAATCTCTTTAAGGGGTACTAAATTATAATTTAAATGTGGTCAAATTATAAAATAAAATCTATAATCAAAAATGCTTTAACAGAGTCCAACATTAAAAAGTGCTTTAAAAGGGTCAATAAATCATGATAAATTATGCATAAGGAAATTGATACAAAGGAGTAAAGTATAATAAAAAAGTGCTCCAAAGGAATCCAAAATAATTAAAAAGTGCTTCAAAATACAAAAGTATTAACAAAAAAGTAAGCTTACAAAAATGTAATAAATAAAATAAAATTAAAATTTAGTGCTTTTATTATGCTTTAATACAATAGGTGAAAATCTTATTCGGTTTGTATTGGTATACATATTAGGGTGTGCCAAAAAAACTCGATATTTTTTTTTTCTTGCTCTCCACCCAAAATATCGTAGAATAGGTCCGAACAAATATTCTGTTAAAAGCGGAGCTCATAATTTCAATTTTAAGAGGTCACTCATCGAATCTGAAGTTTTGCCGCTTAAATAACACAGAAAACTGACTTTTTTACCTTATTTATTCTTGCAACCTAGGAAGATTTTTTTTTTCGTAAAATCCATGACTAATTCTTACAAAGCATTAAATTTAGACAAAAAAATCTTATTAAGCCGAATTTCTATTTTCATTATTTAATTTTTTACTTAGCTTTAAATTTAAAGATAATAATACAAAAATGATGACTTTATACGCCTGTAACTTTTAGAATATTGACGATATAAAAAATTCGCCTAAAACTTTTTTGTGGTCCATCAGACAAGCTAAAAAATTACCATTTGACTTTTTCGTCTAACTTCAATAGTTTAGCTGAAAAAGGCAAAAACGTAAAATTTTAAATTTAAAGCTCTGTAAAAAATTAAATAATGAAAATAGAAATTCGGCTTAATAAGATTTTTTCGTCCAAGTTTAATGCTTTGTAAGATTTGGTCATGGATTTTATGAAAAAAAAAATTCTTCCTAGGTTGCAAGAATAAATAAGGTAAAAAGGTCAGTTTTCTGTGGTATTTAAGCGGCAAAACTTCAGATTCGATGAGGGACCTCTTAAAATTGAAATTATGAGCTCCGCTTTTAACAGAATATTTGTTCGGACATATTCTACGATATTTTGGGTGGAGAGCAAGAAAAAAACTATTTCGAGTTTTTTTGGCACACCCTAATACTTATACTTCATATAGCTATGAAGTTAGCAACAGGTTTTTAGTCACGGGCTGAAGTTAGTTTTATGTTCTCAAATGTCATACAATCATTAAAATAGTGCCGTTCTTGTAAACTAATAGTAAATGTAAATAGTTATTTGTTTTACAAGTGTTGAAAAGCGACTTTTTTATGCGAGTGAAATATGTTTTTTCTACGACCCTTTTATTTTTTATTATTTTTAAATACAAAATAAAATATTTAATTTCTTTTTACACAGACCTGTCACTTTTTACAAAGACCTGCCATTTTTCAAACACATGTGTGTAGAAATGTCACTTTACATTCGAGTTTTGCCTTGCCTATGAAAAGATTCATTTTCTAAGCAACGATGCCATTACGAAATGTGACTTGTACAGTTACGGAAAGAAGTAATGTCCATTTGAATGCTCCATTGTAATTGTTCGGAGGCATTCGGAAATAGTCAACATCTGCCTGTTAGGGATTTACTACCTGCTCGTATTGAATTAATTATTTTGTGTATATTACATATTTAACTGTATTCTTATTAAATCGTTAATTTTTTGATATATTTTTGTATAGTTTTATAAACATTTATTCTTATTTTTTCATATCAATATTTTAAATTTTCATATTAATATTTTAAATGTAGGACAAATTTTTAAATATTTGATAAAAAATATTATATAATTATTAGACTTGTACAAAAAAAATCGAATATTTATTTTTAAAGTACCTCAAAAATATTGTTCAGAATCTCAAAAAAATGGTCCTGTTAAAATGTAAGCTCTTAATATTACATTTACGGGTGCTTCATCGGGAATTTTTATTTCCCATTAAAATAATATGAGATTTTTTAAAATACTTTAAATTTGTATAACTCGGATTAGTAAAACTGAAACAAATTTTGGTAGGGCTCTTTTAAAAGGTATTCAAGGTAAAAGTTGAATTTATACAAATTTTCAAGATTTTCAAACTTTTTCAGCGAAACAAAATTTATGGTAAAATTTAGTAGGACCCTTTTTTAGGAAAATATTATCTAAAACCATAAGCAAAGAAAGCTGCCTTTTTATTTAAAAAGAAATGGTAAATAATTACATTAATAATTGAGGAGCATCCGTGCAAAACCGGCTATATCCATTTTAATAAAATGTTGGGAAAATGGCAAAAACTCTCGGTTTCCTGGCCTTTACAGATAAAATAAAAAGCAAACTTGAGTTTTGTGGGCTTTGTGGTACTTGATTTATAAGACCTACTTTCGTTTTCAAAAACTTTATATTAAGGCCAAAATTTCAAAAAATGTTTTGTATATAAACCCGAATAAAATGTGAAAAAAAACCTTTATTATTCAAAAATATTAACAAAATAAATTTAGTGCAAACATGAAAAAACAGAACAAATTTAATTTGTAGTATCGACATATCCAAGCCTCATGCTCATCATCATTATTATTTATTGGAAATAGCCGGGTTTACTATAAAAATGTGGATTTGGCCGGCTTTGCTCCTAAAGCTACTTTTTAAATGTGATTTTAACATGGATATAGTCAGATTTAAACAGAATTATCTTGGTTGTCGATAGAAATGAACCCAAAGATGCGAAATCAAAACAAAAACTGAATAAAATGGATTTAGCCGGTTTTGCACAGATGCTCCTCAATTATAGTTGAAGCATGGCATTCCCAAAGGGTTTGGACCCAATTTGGTCAAATATTATATTATAATTTAAAAATAGTCTATGTGCCATGCAAAACGACTACAAAAAATTTCTCCATATTATTTTTGTATTTTAAAGATTGATGGATTTTCATTGATTTCTCACAATTTTATTTTTGACAATTAGAGCCTTTGGGAATACCAAGTTAAATTATTA